ATAGGACTTAATGTCCTACTAAGATTCCAAATCTTACTCAAACTATCAAACTTAATCTGAATAAGTCAAGAAATCATATATCTTTTATGATAGGGATTATCTCCCAAAATAGGACTTAGTGTCCTACGAAGATTCCAAATCTTACTCAAACTATCAAACTTAATCTGATAAAGTCAAGAAATTATATCTCTTTCATGATAGAGATTATCTCCCAAAATAGGACTTAGTGTCCTACTAGGATTTCAACCCCTTGGGTTCACTATAAAAATAGAGGCCTGCCCTCTCATTAGGCATGTAATCTCCCATAGTCAATCTACACTACTCAAAACCATCTATTTGCTCCTAAAGTTCTTACTCCCGAAAACCCGACGCCTCCGCTGTAGTCCTAGCTTCCGACAAGACTCCTGGTAATTCTTCATCTCCTTAATTCTTTTCAAATAATCTCTTTCAGCCTTGCTGACTTGAGCGTCGGAGTGCCTACGGCAAACACTACCCTGGTGTTTTCCAGAAGCTTCACGCTTGTCCTTTCATGTGTGCAGGTCTAGCGGATTGTCAGTAGCCTCAACCTCACGGGATCAGACCCCATTTTCATGATGGTAGATTTTTTGCATATATAGTTTGGCGCCCACCGTAGGGACTCTGACAATCGTTATTCCAACGACAACTTGCAACATGAGAGGAGACACGGAACTCCCTTCGACTAATATCGTTAATCTGAAAAGTTCCATCATGATAAGAGAATTTTTTCTTTACTTTTCTTCATTGGTTTATCTGTTCACGTCATATTATATCTATTCGGCATTTCATAATCTGTTTTATGCGTATTACATTTATTCAGCGTGTAATATGATACCTTGAAGCATCAAAACACAAGTCACGCTTCTCATTCTCTGTCTGCATATTCTTCGCATCTTTTCTTCTTCTCCTCTCTCTTTTACTTACTTCAACATCCTCTTCTTATAATCCCACACACCTCAGTCAATCTCCACATCTTCACCCAACCGAGCGTGAGGGACCATCAAATTACCAGTGAAGTTTGGCAGAATATCATGTGACGGAAATCACCCCTCTGAAGCATAAATTGCAATCCATCTTTCCAAGCATCAGCCTTGCTCCCAACGCCAACAAGAGAAAAACCCAACTACATTTACTCCCCTTCAGAAAAACTGAATCAGATTCCCCTCCCAAAACCTTTGTAAACCTTCTCAAAGTCTGCCAAAAGTCAAACATAAAAACCAACAGCCCCTCTCGCCAGTAAGCCTCTCTAAAAACCAAAAAGACTTTCTCACCATCCAAACACTGCTCAAAGGAAAGAAATGCAGAACCTGCATTTTCGGTTCCCACTACCAAAAAATCCTTCAAATCCAACCCAAATTATTTACTGCAGATCCAAAACAAAAAATCATTAAGAAATCCCACGAAACTACCACTGTCCACCCTTCTTCTTCTCCACTTATAAATTCTCCCTTTCCCCCTCTCTCTTCTCACACACTCTCCCTCTTTCTTTTTATACCAACGCCCGTGGTAATTGCTCGGCCGAATTAGCTCTCATTTAGCTCTGCATGCCTCACCTTGAATCTTCTGTGTACGCGAGAAAAGTTAGTTAGTCCCATATGCCTCGGTCAAGCCCAACAACAACTCTCCCCTCAGCTCGGTTCCTAAGACCCCTTCGGTGCAGCTAGAGAACCCATTTTGACTTTCGTTCGGCGTAACAAATTATCACCAAAATGCAGCCAAGTGTGCTAAAGCTATCGCGAGTCAAAACCCGCCTTTTAACTTTTTTTTTCTCCTCTTTATCGTCTACTTAGAGTTTTTTTTTCTTAGATGATTTATGGTTGATTCCGGCAGCGAATATTCAATCGGTCGCCACCATTCGATCCACCGGCCTCCACTAGACCAAACTCCTCTTACCCTGGCTCCTGGTAACTCGCTGAACGCCAGCTGAGAAAGTGAAGTATATTTTGGGTATTAACGGAATATAAATTTTGGTTGGAAAAGTGGTATTTTGAAACTTTTTGGGTGGAAAAGTGTTATTAAGACTGGTAGGAAAAAGTTGTTTACTCGAAAATAAGCTCACCTCCCACGGGTTAGGCAGTATTATTTGAGAAAGAAAGTGTTTTGTAAATCTAAAGATAGTGCAACAAAGTTAGGGCAAAAGTGTATCAGCAATTAAATTTCTAAACTTTGAGAACCTATTTGATAAAAATACGTGAAAATTATCATCCAAGTGTATATATATACCTTGGGATAGTGGAATTGAAGTTTCTATTATACTTCGTTTTCTGAAATAAATGCTTATATGCTGCTAGGGCTGGTTAACGAACCGAGCCGCTCGCGAGCCGGCTCAGCTTGGCTCGAGTTTGGCTCATTAACAGCTTGGTTCGTATGGTTTTGAGCCGGCTCTGCTCAGTTTATGAGAGAGAACGAGCCGAGTTCGAGCCTCCTTTTGCTCGTTAGGCTCGCGAGCTGAGCCTAGCTCGAGTAAGTGGGGTTTTTTTTAGGGTTTTCTGAAGTATGGGGGATTAAACTAAAATCTCAAATACAAAAAGTTCTCAAAAATGACAAAGACCCCCCCTGATTTTAAAATCCCTAAAATTATCGACATAACCTTTTTGCCCCAAAAAAACCAAACCCATACAATTTTCAACTGATTTTCCAATCGTCTTCTGTGTGCTTCGTCGTTGCCGTTGATACCATCTGATTCGCCGGAGTGTTGTCGGCGTCGCATACTCCATCTACCCCTTCAACTCTCGCTGTGAAACACTGAAACCCAATCCACCACCAGGCTGTTGCCATCGCCCAACACCACGCTATCGCTGTCACCTAACACCACGCTATCATCGTCGTTGTCACCCACTGTTGTTGCCTTCTTATTGTTGTCATCGTCGTCTGGTCATTGTTGTCGCCGCCTTATTCTCGCTGTCGCACTCATGTTGGTGTTGCCCATTGTTCTTGTCATCAATCTCATCGTCGATGCCTTTTGATTCCAACCTTTAGTAAGTTTTTTTTTTAATCTAAATGAAAGTTACTGCATGAAACGATTAGGATGGAAGATGTAGCATGTGACTGATGAATCTAGGTCAATTTTGATGGTTGCGAAACATAACTTTGTTTAGTTTTTTATATATTTCTAATGCGAAGTGGATGTATTGCACTTGTGTATATGTACTTGCTGACTCACGAGCCGACTCGAACTCGGCTTGTTAAACTGGCTCGCGAGCCAAGCTCGAAATCTCTTCTCCCTTAACGAGTTCGAGCCAAGCCAAGAAATAGCTGCTCGTCTGGCTCGGCTCGAACTCGAACTCGCCTCCTCCCTTAACGAGCCGAGCTCATTTAGCTGAAAACTCGGCTTGGCTTGGCTCGAAAACAGCCCTATATGCAGCCATGTGTTGCTATAGCAACCGACAAATTTTAATTATTCGAGCATCTTTTAATTAGAAAGGAATCTAACTATTATTCTCTTAAAATCTTATGTTATTAGGAGAATTGCAATTTAATTGTTCAGCAGCGCAATTATAAGTCTAATTATTTTCACTTCAGGTTTAAAAATTAAATTCCAGCAAATTATATCAAGCAAACATAACTTAAATAAAATGTTTTAATGCAATGCCAAGAGAAACGGCTTCCAATTTAGAGTCGTTGTTTATAAAAAAGTTTTAAACAATGACTCTAAATTGTTTAAAATTTGGTGTATTATTGATACTCTTTCAGCCTTTTTTGCTAATTCTATTATGTTGACGTGGGTGTTAGATGGATTAAATGATAACTTTAATGTTATAAGAAAATATTTTGTAAATCTAACAACATTGTAACAAAGCTAGGGCAATAATGTATCTAAACTTTGAGAATCTATTTGATAAAAATACGTGAAAATTGTCATTCAAATGATAAATTCAAAAACATTAATGATATTCTTCCGTGCGATAATGGAACGAAGTTTCTATAATACTTCGTTTTCTGAAACAGATACCCATATAATCGTTTTTTAATTTCTCTTTTCCTCTCAACAACCGCATACTTTACACATGCGTTTGTAGTTTTAATTTCCTATTACTGCTGTGTTTTCCACATGCGTTGGATGTTCTTTCTTCGTTATTTCAAGTTCCAGTGTTGAAAAGTCAGCAATTTTATTCCATACGCGTATGACTCTATTCTCTTTTGTGTTTTCTTTGGGATTTGGAATCTTTATCTTTAGATACTTCAATTTAATTAATTACATTATTATATTAATTACTGTTGACTTAATTATTAATTCTATTATGTTGACGTTGTGGATTATAAGAAAGTGTTTCGTATATCAGTTATAAAAATTTTAAACTTTGAGAATCTATTTGATAAAAATACCCACATGCAGCTACAAATTTTAATTAGAAAGGAATGTAACTATTATTCTCTTAAAATCTTATGTTATTAGGAGAATTGCAAATTGCAATTTAATCAGTCAGCGGTGCAATTATAAGTCTAATTATTTTCAGTTCAGGATTAAAAATTAAATTCCACCAAACATAACTTAGAATTTAAATTTAAATTTAGACACAAACTTTTTCTTTTTTTATCAATAATATTATGCAATACAACGAATGTGATACGAAAATTGTAATTGGTCCTAAACCATTAAATCCTTACGAATTTATTGCTAAAAATTTCTATAAAAAATTGTCATAAATAGAACATAAGCCATTAAATATTAACAGCTTTATTTAGTTGTAATTTTTGAACGTGATACTAATCATGAATTGATAACAAAGTTGGGTAAATTTAAGTTCTTATGTTCATGATACTAATCATGATTAAATAAAATGTTTTAAGATGGCTGACTTATTAAAATATATAGATGGAAAATACAATTTTATAATTCAACTTCATAACTTTACTAACCTTTGAAAACCTTATAAATACAACATGCACGTACCCATTCCAAACAAAATCTCTCTCGACTCTTAGCAAATTAAGCTTCATCTTCATCTTCTCAACTGCACAAACGAACACATAAAAGCAATATGCCTGCCGTTAATAGCTCTCCAGTTTCCGGCCAAACTGTTTGTGTTACCGGCGCCGGTGGCTTCATTGCTTCCTGGATTGTTAAGCTTCTACTCAAAAAAGGATACACTGTCAAAGGGACTGTCAGGAATCCTGGTAATTATTACTTTATTAATTGATTTTCAAGTATTAATTCACGATTGTTTGATTTTCTTGGTGAAGTTGTTTCCAGGGAAATTCTGAAAGATTGTGTTATTGTTATGTGTTTTTATGTTATAGATGACCCGAAGAATGATCATTTGAGGGAGCTTGAAGGAGCAAAAGAAAGATTGATTCTATGCAGAGCTGATCTTCTTGATTATGAAGGTCTTAAGGAAGCCATTCGTGGCTGTGATGGTGTTTTCCATACTGCTTCGCCTGTGAGCGTGTCCGACGTTCCGGTGAGTTCGTTTATCTTAGCTCAATTTTCTTGTTTCTCGTTGCTGTTTGGTTGGCGAGAAAGTGTTAGAAATATTGGTAAATCAAGAAAGAACTTGTTAAAAGTTTGTATTTAACAGCATACACACAAATCATCCAATAATATATTCTAAAAAAAATCATCTTTCACAAGGTCTTGTAACATAGAATTTTCTAATCATTATCACTTCGAATACAAAATTTTCTAAATGATATTTACTAAGAATTTAAAGTTATCCTTAACGTTTAATATAACCAGTGCGATACACTACATTACAAAAAATAAAAAATCTGAAATGAGTAGGACAGCAGAATGAAAGTTATTTAAAATATTGGTGGCTGCTTCCTCCAACTAAAGAACAAAGACAAAATTGGTAAATCCATTGACTTCATTTTCAAAAATGTTGATTTTGACTAAGTTAATTTTTAATGATGAAGGATAATGTGGAGCCGGCGGTGGTTGGAACAAAAAACGTGATTTATGCAGCCGCCGAGGCTAAAGTCCGGCGCCTGGTGTTCACGTCGACGATTGGTGCTGTTTACATGAACCCCAATCGGAGCCCTGATGTCATTGTGGACGAGTCCTGTTGGAGTGATCTTGACTATTGCAAGGACACTAAGGTAAATTACATATTTATATATTATACATAATTAAAAGTTGTTTTAATGTGTGTCCTCAAAACACATTTAATAACACTGAAAAAAAAAAACAACAAAAAAAAAAGTTGTATATTAAAGTTTGAATTTTTTTTTTTTTTTTTTTTTAAATCTCTTTATACGTAATATGCTTGAAGATTTCAGTCCTACTTTTATACTGATATACATATTTTTTATTTTTACAGAACTGGTATTGCTATGGAAAAACTGTGGCAGAGCAGGTGGCGTGGGAGGAAACTAAGAAGAGAGGGGTGGATTTGGTGGTGGTGAATCCATCTCTGGTGCTTGGACCGCTGTTGCAACCAACAATCAATGCTAGCATTATTCACATTCTCAAGTATTTAACTGGCTCCGCAAAGACTTATGCTAATTCTGTTCAGGCATATGTTCACGTTAAGGATGTGGCACTTGCCCACATTCTTGTTTACGAGACTCCGGCCGCCTCTGGCCGATACCTCTGTGCGGAAAGCATCCTCCACCGTGGCGAAGTGGTGGAGATTCTGGCCAAGTTCTTCCCTGAATATCCCACCCCCACCAAGTGAGTTTTCCATTATTTTTGTAAAATCTTTAAAATAATTTTGTTACTTTAAATTTCATTTCAATTTACTAATGAAAATACATTTTCCATTGTGAAATATTGCAGATGTTCAGATGAGAAGAACCCAAGAGTAAAGCCCTACAAGTTCTCAAACAAAAAGCTGAAGGATTTAGGATTGGAGTTTACCCCGGCGAAACAATGCCTATACGACGCCGTTAAGAGCCTCCAAGAGAAGGGTCACCTACCTATCCCTCCAAGAGATTAGAAAAGGATTCTGAAATGGACAATCATCAACTATGAAAATAACTAAAAAGGATTCAAGAAATCAGCATTAACATAAAAGTATTAAATTTAATGGTTTATACTTCCATATTGGAAAATAGAATATGTCTTATAATTTTGAAATTAATCTTCAAGAATGTGAAGTTGGAAAAGTTTTACTTTCGTGTAATAAATTATATGTCTAATCATTTGATTGTACTGAATTAAAAAGCTGGATATTTATTCGTCATTTGGTTTTAACACTTAAGACTAGAAATCGGTTATATTCCTCTTAATGGAAAAAGCTAAATTTTTTGGCTTTTAACTAAAGACTAAAGACTTAGTTATTTGTCTTAGATGACTTCTCAAAATATTCTCTATTCTAAATTTTTAATTCCAATCATATCCCTTAAAACTTTAATCTCAATTAGCATATTTGATTCACATTCTTATTTTACTTTAGCTGTAGCGAATATAAATTATAAAGGATACACGCAATTAAAGAATCAAATTATTAATTTGCAAAATTAAAATATTTTTGTTATATTTATCAAATTCATGATTTGTAATACAAAATATAAATATATATCATACTTAACATTAATAAGGATAATTACATAAAAATACTAGTTTTCAGATATTTAAAATTTGTAAAAACAAATACTTAATAGTTATAATTAGATATGCAAAAATATTTAATTCAGTTTTATTCATAGAGAGTTATTCAATAGTAAATACTATATAGTTATCAAACAAGTTCTATCAATGCTTGTGTGATAATTCAAATGTTGATATGACGTATACTCAAGAGGGAAGTCAATATTTTGATGTTGAGGCCAGTGGTCAAAATATATTACTATTTGGAACTTGAAAGAATTAAAAATATTTACATTTGATTGATTATAACACTTTAGAATTTTGTAGAGTAAAAATCAAATAAAAATCTTATGTAAAAAGGTCCAGGCCTGTTTGTTACATTTTTTTGAAAAATGTTATTATGAAAGTTTTAGGTTGAGTTGATTAAATCAAATCTGAAAATGTGTTTGGTAAAATATTTAAAAAATATATTAGAGTTTGATAAAATGTTGAATAGTTTCTTGGTACATTTTTTTAAAAAGGCTTTTAAGACAAAATAGTTGTTATGTACATTTTCTGAAAATATTTAGACTAATTTTTAACCCCCTATGTTTGTTAATTTAGCTAAACACCCCCACAATAAAAGTTTAAAAATGAACTAAAACACCCCAGCCAGCAAGAGGACAGCCAGTCGTTGCCCACCAGCATCGGACGGTAGCCGACAGTCATTAGAACAACGTACAGTTGGCTAGATCTGACCAGTTATGTGTCAATATGACCGTTTTCGGCCAGATCCATCGTGGATCTGGATCTGGCCAAAAATGGCAAATCTATAGACAGATTCTGGTAGTTGTTAATGGTTAGAGATTTGTTGATTCTATGAAGATCTTCCTTCATCTTGATTTGTTAAGAGTTTTCACACATATCCTCAAATTAAATGAGGTTGAGACAGGTGTACATATAAAATATCCCCTGAGGACGTTGATTGTTGGAGAAGTCTGTTGAGTCTTGATTGGTGAAGATGACATCAGCATATTATTTCGTAATAACAAATATCATTAAAATGTAAACAATAATTGTGTTGTTTAAGCTTTAAAAGTCTAAAAATAAAACTTTATTTTAAATGCAATGCCAAAATAGCTAATTAACCATGATTGATTAATTGACCAACCCATTGGATCAGAATAAGGATGGAAAAAAACATAACCGATTGGGGATATTATTCAACTCATCTTGTCAAAGTAAATTAGTCAAAGCACAAATGACACCCACTTTAATGATAATAAAAATGTAAAAAGCATTTTATCCCATTGCTTATTATGTATTGTAGCACACACCAAGCTGTATCTTTTAGTCATTTCAAAAAACTGTTAGGGGTGTAATTGTAATTTTAGAAGGGTTTTTTGTCATTTTTTGAAAAAAAGGGGGATAATTGATATTTGCCCAGGTACTCAGAACTGAAACCTACAACATAAGTTCTGGTTCCAGGTTTTTAGTAACCAAAACAAATGGTTTCGGTTCCAAATCAAGGGAACCAGCCTGTTCCGATTACGGATCTAGTTCTTTTGATTTTGGGCGGGTACCCGGACCCGTCCACCTCTAGCGGGTATACCCAATCCACCCGCAAAATAAATAAGTCGGGTCAGGTGCGAGTTAGATGAAAACAGGTCAAAATATGAACTCGTACCCCTTTTTTAAATGGGTACCCACGGTTATAGACCCCTTTTGCCGGGTCTAGATGTGAGATAATAAAGGCAAGTGAAGTGCTTAGGGGGTTCATCTCCTGCCATTTGAGTGGCATAATTGGGGGAACATGTTTGGTAAAAATTGTTTTGGAGAGTATGTTACTTTTGGCAAATCTGAGGGGAGATTGTTTTTAACTCCGTTTAAGAATCTGTATAGAGGTTTAAGACTTTTAAATATTTTCACATTTCTTCCCATTCTAGAGGAGCTAGATAAATATACATTACACTGCTATCAATTTTGCAGGTACTGATAAATTTATTAAAAAAAAAAAAAAAGAATTCTAGAAGAGTCATTTTCTTTTGATATAAAAACGGAATGTGGTGCCAAACAAATCCTTAATTTATTATAAACTTCTTGTGACGGACATTATCAGATATCGAACTGATTTGCTATTTATCACCTAATCCCATTAATTTCATGAATTAAATTTCAAAAATTTTAAATATAAAATATTTATTCATGTAGAGCTATTGCGGGACACAAAATGAAATTTAGGTGTTGAATTTTTTACGTGTTCCTTCGCCGTCCAAAGGACATAAGCTGTTTCTGTTCAAACTTTATAGAGTCAATTCTTCTTCGATTTTTGTCTACTTTGAGAGGGGAAATTAATGGCGAGAGCAATATGATATAATTTATCAAAGTTTTATATATAATTTTATTTTCATTTATTAAAATGTAAACAATTGTGTTGTTTAAGCATTAAAAGTCTAAAAATAAAACTTCATTTTAAATGCAATGCCAACATAGCTAATTTACCATGATTGATTAAGAGTGAACGACTTTTTCCTACCCAATGTTTGCCTTAATGACATTTTCTCATCCAAAAAATTTCAAAATACTACTTTCCCACCCAAAGTTTATATTCCGTTAATACCCAAAATACACTTCACTTTCTTAGCCAACATTCGACGAGTTACTAAGAGCCATGGTAAAAGGGATTTTGCAGAGTGGAGGTCGGTGGATCTAATGGTGGTGACTAATTGAATATTTGTTATTGAAATCAGTAAAAAATCAACTAAAAATAGAAAACCCTAGTTTTGCGATAGTTGACAATCAACGAGAGATCAAGTGCCAGAGTGAGATGAGTTTTGTAGAGAGAATACCGCAAGTTCAAATGGTGGCGATGGAAAGAATTTTTGCCGCCGGAATCAGTTTTGGGTACTAACTAAATATTAAGTTTACGTGGGAAAGTGGTATTTTGAAACTTTTTAGGTAGAAAAGTGTCATTAAGGCAAACTTTGTGTGGGAAAAAGTGGTTTATTCATTGATTAATTGACCAACTCATTGGGTCAAAGTAAGGATGAAAAAAAAAAAAAAAATTATAAATGGATAATGATAATATAAATGTAAAATGTATTTTATCCCATTTTTTATTGTGGATTCTACCATACAACACTCTTACAGAGTATACTCCGAAATAATGAAAAGTGTTGAAAATTAAATCAAGTATATCAGTTTTATCAAAAGTATTGTTAATGTTATCTTTATTTAAATTGATCAGTGTTACGAGTTTAAGTTTAAGCGATATTAGGATTTAACTCTTATATAAATCAATGTATTTATTAGTGTGTGTGAGAAGAAAATAATGTGACTCACTTTTGTGTTGTATTAGCTTGATTTCGATAGTATTAATAAAATATAATTGTAGACGTAAAAATCTACCTGTACGGAAGGGGGGGTCAAATCCCGTGAGGTTGAGGCCACTACCAATCCGCTGCACCTGCACACGTAGAGAAACAAGCGTGAAGCGAACGGAAAACACCGAGGTGGTATTTGCTGTAGGCACTCCGACGCTCAAGTCAGCAAGGCTGAAAGATGCTAATATAGTAAGGACTAGGAAGTAGAGAGGTTACCAGAAGTCTAGTCGGGGACTGTGACTACGGCGATGATGTGAAGCTCTCCAATAAGAGCTTCGGGTATGAAGGTGTAATGTGATCTCCTTATGAGAGGGCTGGCCTCTGCCTATATAGTGACTGTCTGGTCTACCAATCCTGGTGGGAATAAGAGTCCTAGTGTGACTCTAATACGAACCCCAGAGGAATTAGGACGGTGGTGAGCTGTCTTACCAGTGTTCGAATAGGAAGGTGATCCCGAATAGGAAGGTGACCTCAAACAGGAAAGTGATCCCGAATAGGAAGGTGATCTCGAAAAGGAAAGTGATATGTGGGTGCCATGGGCTCTGAACTCGCTCATAGGTCCAGGAAGTGAACTGGGATTTGGAGGCCTAGACCCGGATGGTTTGGGCTGACTGTATCTCGTATCAAATGGGCCTAATCCGGATTGGGCCACATCGGAATTGGGCCTGGTCTCTTCCTCATTCAATCCATTTTTCCTATTTGGGCTAAAGACTATTTTTGGCCCTAACAGTTTGCCCCCTACTCTTTGACTTAAGATTTTCTTAAGTCAGAGAGTAGGAAGCGATTGAGGCATGCTCGACCTCCCTTCCCAGACGACCGATTGTCGGCGCAGCTGACCAGTTTGATGTAGGTTATTTGTAGTCAAGGGTCGCTCGGTATCCAAAGCCGATCCAGAATATGCAATCATCCTAAGAGGATGGCCCGATCGGTGTGAAGGGTTGGAGAGACTAAAATAACGAGACTTCTGGGGCTCACGTGCTCGTTCGGTGCGTCCTGCCAACTAGAGAAGTGAACTAAAATCCCATGACAGGGGTATCCGCTCGGCATGCCGGGTCGAATGAGTTGGAGACGATGTTAAATTGAACGTTCGTTCGGTTGGGGTACTCAGGTGATCGAGTGGGATGGAATCGACTCAGTTGGCTTGTTGGACCATAAGACTTGCGCTTGTGTTTCCATGACGCTCTTTACTGGATACCGAAGGGTCATATAATATGCGCAAACTTTTGACCCATGGCTGCCCACTCGTCCAC